TTCCTCAACTCCATTTTCACAGAAGGAAAACAACTATAGCAGTGCAGTCTGAAATGACTATGAATTGCATGTCTTCATCGCATCGTTGTCTAGGCAATGCACTTGCATGTATCGGAGATTTCCAAAGTGTTGTACCTACAATAGATGCTAAATGAATGGGCACAACTTCTTTGTCAAAAAAACTTGCATCAACACCCCCCACCCCCCCGAAGATATGAAACCTCCTTTTTTCTTTTGTTTAAACTTTCACAGGTATCTGCGTAGAGATTTCTTCTTGGCTGAGGTCACTAGTAGTGAGGAAGAAGGAAGTGGGTGATTGTGTGCAACTACCAAGGGGAGGGAGTGGGTGTGGGATTTAGGTTATGCTGGTCTAAGCTATTATGTTGAAGTTATGTTGAACCAAAAGGTTTGAGTGAAGTAGTTTTCAGACAACTTCAGCTATACTTAACAGTACTTCAGGCATATTGCCTTGCTGGCAATGTGTTGTCACCTTGTTGGTGAATTGGAAAAATGTATATGATGCAAAAACTATAAAAAGGAGAGAATGTGGCAGTCACACCATTTTAATAGCATGTTGCTTGTTCTTTAGTAACTGAGAGAGGCTTAAAAGTCATATTAATTATAATCTTTGCATTTTTCTGAGTCAAAATTTATTTAATGGCTTTGGCTTTATGTTTATCCAGCTTTTTGTTTCAAAAACCTTAAAACCAAACTTATCCTTGACATTGTGAAATGTCTGTTATGCCAGTCAAGTCTGTGAATCCTCATCAAGGAGATACTTGATTTTGTCTTGATGACCTTTTCAAACCTTTCTCTCTGCTTTTTAATCTGGCAAGTAAGGAAGTCATCTATTAAATTAACCTTGCAAAACTTATTATGGAAATTCATCAGTTCGGATTCTGCTCCCATCATATGTTATCATAATTTTAAATTTGTCCCTTAAATTATTGGTCACATAACAGGCAAGAACCATGTTGCACAGTCTGTGTCTAGCTGTTCCCTGGGATTTTTTGTGGGTAAGCACTGCAAATTACAAAGGCGATAGTGTCTTCTGCCTGCTCTCTTAAAGTAGTTCTCTGTCTTCCTGGACAAGATTTCTTTCCAAGTTACATCCATTAAGCTCTCCAGACTGTGGGCCTGTGTGGGTGGAGGAACTGGGCTGGAGTCTTCGGTGAGATGTGAGTACTCACTTGCAGCTGGGCGTGCACGTGTGGCTCTGGTGGTGCCTTTTGCTGGGGGAGATGCTAAATGGAGAAGCATGCTGCCCTGCAAACCTTTTTGGAAGTTGCAACATCACTGGGAGTTGGGCCTTCGCTTGAGCAAAACAAGACCATTTGGAACATAAATTGGTGTGATTGCTGAGGCGGTTGGTTGTTACTGAAGCACAGCATCAGTTTGGATGGGAACGCTGGCATTTAAAAGCAAAGCCAAAACAAAAACCCAGCGACCCAATGGTTCTGGGTGTCCTGTGATTACTTGACGTTGGCCATCAAAGCATTTTGTGAGTGGCACACAGAGGCACCTTCGTGAGTCCCAAACTGACAGTGAATATGAATGTGGCATGAGAAAACCCTAGCTGGAGATTGTGCAGATGTCATTGTCAGCCAGCAAATATGGACAGGCCTTAAATCAAGTTGTCTGTGGGGAGTAGGTTGCAGGGTTCCCCTGTAGAGGCTTTAAAACTGCTAGCAGGGATAGACAGCAACATGTAATATTTGATCTTCTACATCCAGTCCTCAGTGGAGCTGGTTTCATTCCAGTGATTTCTTTGGCTTTATGGCTTTTTAACTCTTCTTCAAGCAACATTGTATTTCTCCTTTTCCCGAAATTCTTCTCTTAAAACTGTCAAGGATGGCCCTTGCTGCTGAGTGGTGATTGTGGTTTAATGGTAGTTAATTCTTTGCAAAGAATTACTCAGCATGCAGCAAAGCCAAGCTCCTTCAGCTGCTGGATGTGTAGCTTTGTAAAAGATGAGGAGTCCTTGGACACTGCAGCTGAGATAGAGTGAAAGGGTGCATGCCCATCCTCTCCCGGGCCAGCGGGGCACAGGGACTGTGATGGGCTGCAGACTCACAGTGGGTATGACAGTCACAGTCCTGCCTGAGAGACAGGAGGTCCCCAGTCCAGTCAAATGGCTCTGACCGGTTTTGTTATGGTTTTGGCACTGAAAACAGATTTTCTGTGCATGTCCTGAACAGTCTGTGATTTTTAACCTTTAGAGCAAACGTTTCACCATGTATTTGGTACGGGTGTTGCAAGTCCATCTGTGGGCAGCAGTTTTGTTTGCCTGTTGCACCTTTTACTGCTGGTAAAAGTGTCGTTCAGTTTTTCAGTCTTAGGGTGTAGCAGGATAGCAGAACAGAGATTAAAGATGTCTGAAAACCCATGCTCTTCAGGGAGAGTCTCCAGCAGGGGCATGGGCTTTCTAGCATGTCCTAACTTCATGGCTCTGCGAGTAAACTGCTAGCCAAACATGAAAGCAGTCCCGAGCATCCCTGATACTTCATGTTCTGCATCTCCAGAGCTGTGCATATTCGGGGGTCATGTTCTTAAACCTTGTGTCTTAAACAAAAATGGAGATCCTGTGCTGCTGATGCAGACTTCTGCAGTACTTGTTCGGTGTCATGTTTGCTTTTGTTTAAATTTTATCCCACGAAGAAGAAAATGGTTTCTGCTAAGTCACCAGACCTGTGAAGAACAGCAGTCACTGGACAGTGCCCTTCAGGGTTACGGTATACACAATTGCACAATAAATCCTGCTCACAATTGCACAATAAATACTCATTGTATATAAACCTGTATCACTTTCAAAGCCTGTTCAGGCTTATCTGAAAGAGCTTCAGGAAGGGGTGTGAGTTGTTTGGCCAGGATAAGAGAGGTCCAGACTGGCTGTTGCAGATACTCTCTGATTCTCAGGTTAACTGAATTCCACTTTAGTCATCAGTTATCACCTCATAAAACTAAAGTCTCTGGAATGGGAGAAGCAAACTGATTTTGATTCATTGCAATCGATCCATTGTGGAGAGAGTTTTTGAATACTTCATCTAGGCAGGAATTTGATTCCTTCTCTGTTTTGTGGTAAGGGTTTTTACTGTGGTGCTTTCATGGTATATCTCAGGAGCTTTCTGAAGTAATCTGCTAGTTGAATGCTGCTTTTCTGTGCAGCAACATGCTAGTTTGTGTGTCTGCTGTTCACCACTTACTAAATTAAGAAGTAAATTAGGTGGTTGAGCTACCATGTTAAGCCTGCTGGGAAAGAAAAAAAAGAGAAAAAGAGGGATCCATTTTTGGCACTGTGAGTTGTGAAGCATCCCGATCTCTTGCCACATGGTAGAAGTTCCCTGCTGTTTGCTCTCCCTCTCCCCTCCTCCTGCCTGCTGCGGGGCGCTTCTGCAAGCTCTGCTAGATTCCAGGCCCTTGCTTTCGTTCGTGTCACTCACCTAGCCGTGCCTTAGTTTCTGTTTGTCTTGGGGTGAGTAAGGTCAGAAGCAACTATCCATGCGTGACTTCCTGAAGAAAAGTCAGATCTTTGTCAAATGAGCACTGCCTCAATGAGAGCTTTATGTAGACACAGACAAATGAGGTTGCAGGGAAAAGGGATGTATGTAAATAGTGCAGCATATGGGAAGGAGATGAGTGACCTTTCTGTGAGAGTGCTGTTGTTTGCTGGCTTTGCTGTTCACCATGGTCCGGAGAAGATCCTTCTGGTCAGGCCCTGTAGCTCACTGCCCTCTTCCTTTAACATGAAGAACATCTTCCTGGCCTTTGCCTTTCAGCAAATGTGCCTATTGCTGGAGGCTTCCACTGAATCTCTTGGTTTGTAGGCAGGAAGCTGCTCGTGGATGCACTCTGCTTGTTGTGACTGCTCAGCTCTTTGGTGGTTTTGCATTTCAGTTTCCTTGAATGATACCGGTTAGGAAAAGATGTGTAAGTGACAGGTCCTTTCAAAATACGTGTCTTGCTGGTGGGTGAGAAGCGGGTCCAGCCAAGCGACGCGGTGTTCCCCATGGCCAGCCAGGCTGTCTGTGGAAGTGGCCACGCGCTGGGGCAGCCTG